TTTTTTTAAAAGATACTGTACAAGGGGATAAGGATAGTTGTCCTTATGACAGTCTATAATAATAAAAGTATAATATGCTAATTAGACCGGACATCCTTCCAGATGACCTTCGGGACAAAGCCAAGGCGGTGGGGGCCAAGCCCTTTGAACAAATTTCGTGCATCAGGCCTCTAGTATTAAGATAAATGAACACCACTACCGCCTTTTATCCATCTGTATTATCTGGAGGTTAAGGTCACATGGGTCAATCAGTTTCTTAGAACTAAAATAGGTGTTAACTGTTGTGTTCTGTTGTTTAATTGGGGGTGGGGATGGGGAATCTTATGCATGTCTACAGAAGCAGGAAGCAATGAATTCCATCCCAAATGTACTGTTAGATGTTCCCTACTCTCAGAAAAGGACTTTTGTGTGGTTACAGCTTCAGAATGACATTATATTCTAAGCAACTCCAAGATTTATGTTTTCAGAACTTTTGTTAACATGTATTTATCTATCAATGAGACATTACCATTCAAATTCCGGTTAATAAAACCAAGTCCCTCATAACCAATGGACACAGACACCAGGGGGGTGAGGGCATAAAGGGGGGATATAAAGACACATATGTAATACCTTAATCAATAAAGAAAAAACAAGCATGTAAAAGAAAAAATATCTGTACCTTTTATCTCAAGTTACAGTATTACTCTGACATTGTATATTTCAAAAGTAAAGTTAAACTGGGTTACAAGTCTATAAACATGTAACTATTATAAATATTCTACTATATCAAATAATAAATATTCTAATATTATAAACAGTTAAAAGAATAGAAATATAAAATAATCTACATATTATAAAATGTTTGCCTTCTGAAAATCAAATTAGGAAAAAATCTGAATAAAGAATTGGATGAGCATACTAGTTTATTTCAAAAAACAAAACAAAAACAAAAACAAAACCAAGTCCCTCTTATGAGCTGGTTATAGAGCAATGGACTTTGACTATCTATTTTATAATCCCAAGGGCCAGTAACTGTTGTCCTTATTATTAAATTGATGCTAACTTTTTTGTTAATATACCCCATGAAAATCATCTTCTCTGGTGTCGATATTGCTCTAGTGAGTCAACTGAGGTCTCTGTAAAATTTGTTACAGAGGGTAAAAAGGTGCTAATTAATAACTGGAAAATCCACATTGGCAGGTAATTAACCTGAATGTTGGTTAGTTTAAATTAGAAGTATTTTCATTTGAATTAAAAGCATGACTGTAATCAGTCAGGATCTGAATAACTTTTTTTTTTTTTACCATGGTGCTTGTCATAACTTAAAAACTAACATAGAAAGCAAAATGAAGATCTTTTCCAGTGTTGCCAATGATAGTACTGTATGAGACAATATTTCAGAGATACTTGCCTTCCACTTAAAACAAACGAAAACTAATCATAGGTCATTACTAAATACTCAACTTACCATAGGTGTAGTACAGGTTTTACAGCCATAGATAAGAGAGTTCTTTCTGCTTATACGAACACAGGAATTATGTTTCCTCCTGATCCATACAAGATGTTTAAAAATGTCCTTCATCAACAAAGAGCCAGACAGTAAATGGGCAAAGTTAAAAATAATACTCCCTGATTATTACCAATTGATCAACTTCCAAATTTTACATTAATGTGGTTTACATATGACACTAAACTAAAGGAAGGTACCTGCTGGGGTCCAACCCCAGCAGGTCCAGGGGTCCCCAAAGGTGTGGACGGAGTCGGCGAAGAAGGAATGACACGGAGACAGTGCTCAGCTGACCAGCAGCCTTGCCAGGATCTCTAGCCACAATCTCCAGCCAAGTTCTGTGTCCATGTTCTCTTGCTAGGTTCTCCAGCCAGGTTGTCCAGGTTCTCCAGCCAGGTTCTGTAGCCATGTTCTCTCGCTAGGTTCTCCAGCCAGGTTCGGTTTACGTTCTCCAGCCAGGTTCGGTCGCCAGGTTCTGTAGCCGGGTTCTTCAGCCAGGTTCTGTCTAGGTTCTCCAACCAAGTTCTGTAGCCAGGCTCTGTCCAGGATCTTTTGCCATGTTCTCTCCAGCGAAGTTCTTCTGTCTCTAGGTTCTGTGTAGGTTCTGTCTTCTAAGTTCTCCATTTATGTCTCTTAATT